CTGGCATTCCTATGTCTACAGTATTTCTTGATAGTTAGGATAACAATCTAGCAAGATCAGAATACTCAAAACCAAATTCAATTATACACAATGTGCTGGTATCATTAATAATTACTAGAGAATTAAGAGAGCTTTTAGATTTTAGAAAAGCTTATAGTAACAATTTAGTAATAAATTTTGAGATCTGTATAATGCTTTTCAAAGAAATTTTTATGTCATTTTAACTTTGAATTAGGTGACATTATTCTATTTTGAGAAATGAGAAAACCAAGGTACAGTTTAAGTCTTCTCAAATCAATGGCAGAGCCCACATCTTCTGGCATGAAGTTCAAGGGTCTTCTGACATTACAACAGCTGTGGCCTCTTAATTCAGGCATTCCTGGCTGAGTTACTCAGAAAATGTATAACTTCCATTCTCTAGAGATTGTAGTTAGGGTTGTCTAGTGCATTTATCAAGGGATATGGAGTCGAATATGGAGTCAGAGTACAAGTTGATGATTCCTGAGGTGTGCCTATTTTGGGTTATTACCTCGACTTGTCTCTTTTACAACCAAGATCCCCATATTCCCTAAAAGGCTATATGATGACAAGGGAGCTCAAGGTAAACATAGCCTCTGGGACAGTGCTGAGTAGTGTCCACTACCAACCAAGGAATCCTGTAATCTTTAGGTAAGCCCCATTTGGTCTCCATGGACACAACTTCCTGAGTCAAATATTGAAGTACCACTGGTCTTAGTATTTTGTGAGCCTATAAAGGTTCAATATTGTTCTCTGCCCTGAGAACACGAAGATGGCCCATGGTTCTCAATGATTGGCTTAAAACAGAAATAAAATGAAACCAGAATTAAGATCATTTAGCACCTGATACTGGCTCAAAATTTCTAATCCTCAGACATCTAAGGGCAGCTGTTGTTTGCTATAAATAAACTGGTGATACCTTACCCACTTCATGCTAGTGCCTGGACATTCATTCCTGGGGATATCAGAGATGCAAAGCTTAGCCAAAACCACAGGCTTCCAATGTCTGCTCTCTGCATGGGGCCATGGGAAAACTGGGTGGAACTCAGGATAGGTGGCCCAGACTCAGGATAGTCTCCTATGGATTATTGGCTGTAAACGAGGAGAACATTTCTGTGGCTGTCCAAATGGATATCCTGTCCCAGCAACCTAAATGGAAAGAACACTTTAAAGTCAAAAAGCAAGATAGGCAGGGAACTAGCAAAGTTTCTAGCAAAGTAGCTTAAATGGAAGAGTCCTGGGACAGACAACAGCGAATATGAATGCTGAGTTCTGAACCATGTGATGACTACCTGCCTTCCAAATGAAAGTTCCTCCTCTTGAAGCTATAGCAGTAATGAAGCCTTTAGGGGGTCAGGTATATGCTGCTTGACAAGCAACAAGAAGTTAGAGTTCCTGAGAGATTACCTGAAAAGGTTTGAAGAGATCATTTCCATAGAAAACTGTAGAGGGGAAAAATGCTTCATTTTTCTTATCAGTGTGAGTGAAAATTACTAGAATAAGTTTAGTGGGTCCACTTGCTAAATCATTTGTCTGCCTCTGACTGGCCAATGCTCTGTGGTTGTAGGGCTGATGTGGAGAATCCCAACAGCCATAATGAAGCCGAGCTCCGGCGCCAGTTTGAGGAGCGACAGCAGGAGACGGAGCATGTTTATGAGCTCTTAGAGAATAAGATCCAGCTTCTGCAGGAGGTGAGCAGGAGTTCCAAAGGCCCACGGCGAGGGGTCCTCTTTTTCTACAGGCCTGACTTCTGGCATTCAGCCTTTCCCCCTCTACTTTCCTTCCAAATTCATCAAGGGTCTCTGTGTCTTGAGGCTCCTAACCTAGGTGGGGACTTTTGCAGCCTCTCAGTTTTCAGTTTTTGGTTTTTTTTTAGGAATCCAGGCTAGCAAGGAATGAAGCCGCACGGATGGCAGCTCTGGTGGAAGCAGAGAAGGAGTGTAACCTGGAGCTCTCAGAGAAACTGAAGGGAGTCACCAAGGACAGGGAAGATGCACCAGGAAACCAGGTCAAGCCTGACCAATACACTGAGGCCCTGGCCCAGAGGGACAAGTAGGTGCCTTTGGTACTCTTTTTGTCACTTGTTTTTTGCCCATTCTTGAGACTAGTAGAGCATACAGCAACTACAGTATTCCCTTCTAAGGAGTGACAGTGGAACCTTCACCATTTCCAAGACTTTGTCACCCCACATCCAAAGATGTTCTTTTTAGGGTTGAGTCTTTACTGGTATCCCTAAGAATACTTACTCCACGCCAGGTGTCGTGGCTCACACCTGTAATCCCAGCACTTTGGGAGGCCAACGTGGGAGGATGGCTTGAGGCCAGGAGTTCGAGACCAGCCTGGGCAACATAGTGAGACTCTGTCTCTACCCTCTCCCACCCCTTAAAAAAAAAGAATAATGAAGTGGTCAAATGGTGGCAAGCAGGAGACTTGAATTCACTTATTCAGCAAACATGTATCAAGTACCTGTTACATGCCAGATATGGGGCTAAGCACTAGGGTTACAGATATGAAAGACTCAGTTCCTGTCACCAAGAAACATGTTACATGATTTTAATAAGTTCTCTGATAGAAGTAGCATGGGATGTTCTGGCAACATACTGGATGGTCTATTCCAGACTAAAAGAGCAAGGGGTCTGCTGTGGTCTGAATGTTTGTGTCCCTCCCACTCCAATTCATATGTTAAAATCTTAACTCCCAAGGTCGTGGGGCCTTTGGGAGGTGATTACGTCATGAAGGCAGAGCCCTCATGAATGGGATTAGTGCCCTTATAAAAGAGACCCCAGAGAGCTGGTTAGCGAGTTCTACCATGTGAGGATTCATCAAGAAAGCATCCTTTATGAACCAGAGATGGGTCTTCCCCAGACATCTAATCTGTCAGTGCCTTGATCCTGGATGCCCCAGCCTCCAGAGCTGTGAGAAATAAATTCTGTGGTTTAAAAGGTTACCCAGTTTATGGCATTTTGTTCTAGCAGCCCAAATGGACTAAGACAGTGCCATTGAAGGTTTTCTGGATGAGGTGAAATCTGATCTGAATTTTGAAGAATGAACAGGAGTTAGAAAAAATGGGGTAGAAAGCGGGTGGAGAAGGGAAATGTTCTGTGCAGAAGCAGAAACCATGGAGGGGGAAGACACAGGAAAAGGAATATTTCAAGAACTACAAATAGTTGTATATAACTAGAGCACAAGGTCTGGGGAAGAAGAGAGGTAAGCTGTCTTGGGAATAGGGGTCTGCTTGTGCCAGCTTTGTGTATTATTAA